CAAGAAAAACCTTCCCAACCACTAAACATAGGTTGTAAAGCAACATTTGCTTAAAAGATAATAAGGACGTTATTATCAAAATTGTATTTTTTTTTTAATTTGTGACTTGAGATGTTTGTAGAGGGACAATTTTCCTGGTAACTCCATTCAGTTTGTTGTTTTTGTTGTGTTATTTTGTGAGTTTTTTCCTCTCCTCTTGTATAATAAGTGTTACAAAATGCACATACTGGGTTTTTTTAAGAAATGACGGCAGAACAGAAAAAAAGGGGGAGAGGGCGGTGCATGAAGAAGTAGGTCCTAACTGTGACGCCTGCCTATCGCCCACGAAAGCAGAGAGACAATACATCAAAGTGAATAGCACATTAGATATGTATTTGAGCCCTGATGTTTCAGTATGTCGTGCATTGTTACATTCTCTAGTTGAGAGCTGTGGGTGTGTCTCTATGGTTGGTTGGGAGAGGGATGGGGAGAGAGAGAGAGAGAGAGAGAGAGAGAGAGAGAGAGAGAGAGAGAGAGAGAGAGAGAGAGAGAGAGAAAGAGAGAGAAACACAAAACATGTCAAGCCACAGTTACGACAGAATTACGCCAGATGTGTATGTATAATACATGTATAATATATGTATATTAATGTTATGTCAGTGTCCTCCAACATGGCAGACCCGACAGCCATCAGTATAACACAGGTCCAACTGTGGCGTGTGGGTCGCTCAGCAAACCGCGGGAAGCTCTGAACCTTGACGCACAGGCGAATAATTAGTGTGCTGATTCCTACATTAGCTCTTAACCCTATCCGTACGCCCTGGGGTCATTTTATACCCCCGGGGTTGTATTCTTCACATTTTAGAATACTTCTAGTACGAAGATCTCTTTGAAACTTTCAGTATTTCTCAAAGAATCATTTTGACACAGTGGCGTGCAAAGCGTACGGATCGGATTAACGAGTTTTATTTCCTCCTTGGAAAGTGGTGGCACAGAGATCCCCACGTCGTAAGGATACGATAGTAAAACACGACGTACGGATAGGGTTAAGTGGTGGCACAGAGTTCCCCACGTCGTATGGATACGATAGTAAAACACAACGTACGGATAGGGTTAATATATTATGGAAGGCTATTCCTCCTCTGTGCATGCAACTGTGGTGTAGTGGTTAGACATCTCGCCATCGCAGGCAGGAGACCCGAGTTCGAATCCATCAGAGTGGGGAGAAAGTTTTGATAGAGTATCTCTCAGACTTTCTGCTGGGATGTTGTATATAATTAGCCATATCCCTCTCAACCCGGGTTGGCCCTGACAGCTGGGATCAGAAGCCCGCCCCTTAAATGATTTAAACTATTTTAGCTTTGAAGAAGCTGTGGAAACCGAAAGTTGTGAACACAAAGAGGTTGGTGCTTGAGTAGCGTGTACGACACGTATGAACGGAAGCCATGGGTGACGACTTGGACTTGTTAAATAAAGGACTTTGAGATTGGTTGTGCAAATGATCGAAATATTACTGTGTGTGTCGTGAGCGGCGCAAAACACCAATTTGTAAAAAAAAAAAAAAGAAAATGTACATTCCTCCTTTGTACGAGGCTAATCTTCTTATTCAAATTTTCAGTATCACAAACGTCTCATTAACTCCGCTACTGCTTAACGTATTCACACTCACAAAAGAACCACCACACTGAGTAGAAATGTTAATGAATGATCCAAGCATTAAACGTACCGTTTCGTAATAAGGAAGGTAAATTTGTTGAGGCTTAGTAGATATTTATGTGTTATGATTGGAAACTACCGAGCAATGCTATTGATGGGCCTGTTGAACAGGCGCTCTAAAATATGCTGTAAGTTAAGGGAATATTAATTGCTGGCTCTTCCATTAATGACAGTCAACAGCCGATCGTTTTACATACTCGGCCTTGCGGTGAATAGTTTTTGCGTATCATTAACATCAGCGCCAAAGGTGAATTAAGTTTGTATGTGTGTGCTGTTAATGTGCACTTTTTGAGTAACACCTGTGTTGTAATCAGTGTTTTATGAAGTTTTGTGCTGTGGCGTTAGTGTGTGTGTGTGTGTGTGTGTGTGTGTGTGTGTGTATGTGTGTGTATGTGTGTGTGTGAGTGTGTGTTTGAAAGAGAGTGCGTATAACAGACAGACAGACAGACAGACAGACAGACAGACAGACAGACAGACAGACAGACAGACACTATTATGCGTGTGGGAGTTGGTATGGGATGCTGTTTGTTTTTGTTGTTGTTTTTTTTTGGGGGGTGGGTGAAGGTAATCAAAATACAGAGGACCAAAGAGACAGGTCCTACAACGCATAGGCAAACAAAAGCTGACAGGTGACATACCTAAACAGATGACCCACGCCCATCCTCTGTCCACCGGAAGCTCGTTGTACTCCCTCGACTTCCGCTCCAGCTCCGACATTTCCTTGTCGGCGTCCACGTCAGAATCCGATGAGTTGGGCTCGAACCCAGGCTTCTTCACATCTCCCCCTTGTGACGTCACATCGGGCACAGGCGCCACTTTCGTCAAAGTCACGGATTTGTGGTTGTCCACGTTGTAATCAAGCGCTGTTGTGGGTGATGATGGTGTTGCGCCGGGCGACCTTACTGACGTCACGAGACGTGGGGTGGGGGAGAAGGGGGAAGGAGCGCTTCCGACAAAAGAAGACACGCTTCCGCCATTAGAACACACGCTCCCGCCATCAGAAGACATCTTGATGGAGACACAAATACGTCCAGAAAGTCCTCCAGTCAAAGATCAACGACGATCTTCCTGAACCGGATTGACAGCTCTTGGAGTCGAGACCAAGACAGCTTTTTTTTTTTTT